TTTTACCTATATACAGTTGTACCTCGGAAGTCGAATGGAATCCCTTCCAGAAGTTCGTTCAACTTCCAAAACATTCAGAAAGCAAGGCGTGGCTTCCGATTGGCTGCAGGAAGCTTTAGCCTACCCGATAGATTAGGTTTAACTGAAGATTGTGTGTTAACTGCTGCAGATGCCTTTTTGTACACATCTGATGAAATGGGCTGCAGCCTATGAGATTTCATCCCACAATTAGGTAATTTCCTAGTCTTTAAAGTTCCTCAGTCACAGTTCTCTTTATTGTTAATGCTGCCATGGACTAACATGGCCACCCCTCTGAAAACCATAAATATAAATATTTTGAGGGGATATATATGGGTGTTTGTGTGCACACAAGTGCATTTAACAATCAAAGAGACTGCCAAAATGCATAATTCTGAATTATCAAATGATACAACAGGCCCTTCATAGCAAAGGGAAGTGATTACCCCTAATAATGAACCATATGGCATTCTAAGGTGTTCTAAACAATTCCCACCTCTCTTCATTATTACTTTTTCTTATCATTTTCCTGATTAGTCTGAATACACTCTGGCATTTAATCACAATTGCTTCATCCCAAAATTTAACATACAGTGGTACCTCGCAAGACGGAAAACTCGCTAGACGAAAGGGTTTTTGGTTTTTTGAGTTGCTTCGCAAGACGATTTTCCCTATGGGCTTGCTTCGCAAGATGGAAACGTCTTGCAAGTTTGTTTCCTTTTTCTTACCCCCGTTAATCCAGTTGCGACTTGACGTCGAGGAGCAACTCATAGCACGCGGTGTGGTAGCCTTTTTTGAGGTTTTTGAAGACTTTGGTGATTTTTGAAGCTTTTCCAAAACTTTTCCGACACCATGCTTCACAAGACGAAAAAAACCACAAGACAAAAAAACTCGCGGAATGAATTAATTTCGTCTTGCGAGGCACCACTGTACCAAGATCTTAGCTGACAGATGTGTTTTGTTTTGTTTTTACATTTTGTTCATGCTAGTTTTGCTGTTACCACTATACCAAAAAGAAGAAGAAAGAACTCCTTTTTGGTAAAGATCCTTCTAGATAAACATGTAAATAAAACTTTTGATCAACTGCAAGAACTTTAGGTTTTACAAACTAAATTGGCAATAAGTAGCAAGTACTGATGGGACATATCCCACAAGTGGGACATATCCACCAACATTGCAAAAAGTCTCCTTTTGTTAGGGTAGAAACATTTTATGCCAGGGTTAGGGATTCTGTAGGCCTCCAGTTGTTGTTGCACTCCAACTCCCATCAGCTTTACCCAGCATGGCTCAGTGCTCAAGAATGATGAAATTCCAACAACACCTGGAGGGCCACAGGGCCCCCCCATTCTTGTTTTATAGAATTACAGCTCTGTATGTGAGGAGAGGCCTTAAATAAGGGAGTTATAAGAATACTCAGAAGCTGTTGCCTTACTGAGGATTTCTTGCCTTGATTTCCTTTCTTGTTCAGTTATCACACAGTGATCACTTGGATGCCAGGCAGATTATTTGGCCAGTTTTATAAAAAGTTTTGCTGTAGGATGGGTTATATAATAATACAGTAAGCCCACAACTTACATGTATGTAACTTGTAGACAATCAGCTTTATGCGCTTGGCAAAAAGTGCAAAAGAATTAAAAGGGGGTGGAAAGTGGGGAGGCATCTGAGGAAAAAAGACTTTGGCATTCCCACTTGCCTTTGAACCCAGTGTGTTTTGACTATACATGATTTTGGTTTTGGGCGTGATCCACGGAACATAACCCCCATGTAAGTTGAGGGTGTTCTGCATAAATAGGGGAGTGAATGGACCCACCATGGTGTGGCATTGCCAGACATATGAGATACTAAGCTTAGGAGTCCTTCTGACTTGTGAACTGATTTGGGGGGAAGCAGCGGGTGACACTGTGGTCTAAACCACAGAGCCTACGGTTTGCCGATCAGAAGGTCGGCAGTTCGAATCTCCGTAACTGGGTGAGTTCCCGTTCCTTGGTCCCAGCTCCTGCCCACCTAGCAGTTCAAAAGCACGTCAAAGTGAAAGTAGATAAATAGGTACTGCTCTGGCGGGAAGGTAAACGGCGTTTCCGTGCGTTGCTCTGGTTCGACAGGAGCGGCTTAGTCATGCTGGCCACATGACCCGGAAGCTGTTCGCCGGCTCCCTCGGCCAATAAAGCGAGATGAGCGCCACAACCCCAGAGTCGTTCGCGACTGGACTTAACTGTCAGGGGTCCCTTTACCTTTACCTTTACCCCTGTGCGTAGCGCACACACAGGGCATGCACACTGCTGTGGATGCCCAAACGGGTAGTTACTCCGCTTTTGTTTGTGTTAGACTAATGTCAACACCTTGATTTGGTGGCAGTAACACATAGACCACCCTTGCAGATTATTCAGAATATTAGGCCTTCAAAACACTAAAAACACCTGTAGTAGAAATAAATGCAATGTTTGAAGTGGACCAGGAAGCAGCTGGATGATTGTTTTCAGGTGCCATCATCCTTTTTTGTTTTTACTCATGCCTTTGCCCTTGTGTTGGGCACTCTTGCTAAATCCGTGTGTGGTGTGTGCAGTCCTTTTAAACAGCATGGCTGAAAGCATAAAGGACGAAGCTGAGAGAAGGCACTGTAAATCTGCACTGAGAAATGTAATGGGGTGATGGTGGAGGATATTCACGTCAAATACATATTCTTTGCCTTTAAAAACTTCTAATACATTTCAGTCTCTGCCAAAATACCACCCTACAATCCATCTGAATCTGCTCATAAACTGCCTCTGCATTACACCACTTTAATATTAATCTGCACATATATGGTCTTTTAATATGAAAATGTTGTTAGAAAATGTTTAATAGATAAATGGTCAAGCAATTGATGACCCACTAGACTGTGTAATCTTTCCTTTTAACCAGCTGTTTGCTCTGTTATTATAGATTACGCTTGGCTTGGCTGGACTCTAGTTTCTAGGCAGGTATACTCCAAAGAACAGGTTGGGTGTGTGAGTGTGTGGGGGTTCTCAGTGCATTCTGTTCTCTTGTCAGTTTTAAAGAGAGTCTGTGAGTGCTTCGAGGCTGACAATATTTTGCAGGGGGGATTCAAGCACATACCTGAAATATTGGTGTGCATGATTAAAATGGATTAAAATACTATGCAACCAATCACCTTTTTTGTTTTCTTTTTAAACAAACAACAACAACAAATAAATTCTGCAGTTAGAGTAGTTAGAGTGCAGGGAGACCTGGCTTCAAATCCCCACCTGGTTAGGAAGCTCACTTTTATGACCTTGGGTTTTTGCTTGTCCCTTGGCCTAAGCAACCTCACAAGAGCGGTTGTGAGGATAAAATTGCAGAGGGTGGACTCTGCTCTTGATTCTCCCTCTCTCCCTTTGCTAGTTAGTTGCATTGTGTTACCTTGTGCTCTTGGGTTTTGTCATGTTTTGAAGTTTGCTTTTCTGTTTTATAAACATAAGCTGCTTTGAGGCCCTAAAAGGTGTGATATAAATAGGAGACTTTAAAATATTTATTTATTATAAATTAAATAAATAAAAGTTACTGCGAGAAAGGGCATTTTACTCCCCATCTTACAAATGGAGAAGTGAGGATTGGAGATAGTGATTTGGCAAACATGGCACACGTGAAAATGGGTTCAAATCTTAGGCCTTCTGATCCATGGTCAGCCTTGTTTGCAGATGCTCATCAAATTTGCCAATGACACCAAACTGGGAGGAGTAACTAATGCACTAGAAGACAGAATCAGAATTGAAAATGACCTTAACAGATTGGAGAACCGGTGCAAGCTAGCAAACTGAATTTCAATAGGCACAAATGTCAGGTTCTTCACTTAGGCAGAAAAAACAAGATGCACAAATATAGAATGGGGGACACCTTACTTACTAGCAGTACATGTGAAAAGGATCTGGGGGGTTTTGGTGGACCACAAGCTAACAGTTTGCTATATGCCAGACATTATTCCCTGTCCCCAAATGTGGTACGCTTCACAAAGTTGAGTATCATCCTTGCAAAGGGGGCACATGTTTTTTACTATGGTATGCTGTAGTGGTTAAAATGTCCTGGGATCTTGAAAAAAAATCCTTACTCAACCATGGAGCTTTTTGGCACTGCTTTGTGAGGCTGGTCCTCTTTGCCTGCCTGGTCCGCCCCCCACCTTGCCACAGGTGGTTGTGGGGTATGTATATATATCTAAAACTGACCCATTAATTATTCGGAATAAAAGAAGCTTTATACCCAAGGATGCAATTGCTAGTGACCCTTAGGAATGCTGGAATGACAAAATGACTTGCAATGAATTGCAGAGGATGCCTTATAATTAGTAATTTGCTTTATCAGTGGAGATCTGCTCATAACGAGCTGGGTCCTACTACTTAAACTGCTAAGTTCTACTGTTTTCAGTAGAAGAGTGTGGTGAAAGTTGATGCCTCTGAACATGTGCAGAGTGGCACCCTCCTATGTAGCTGCTGCCTGTTCATGGCTATTCTGGCATTACAGGACATGAGGATTTAGGGATGGGGAATCATTGTGTGTAGGATGTGTGTGGCTATTAAAAAGTAATCCATGGGTTAGGGGGCGCAAAGGACTTGGGTTCTGGTAATGCATGCTACGCCACTGGGGAAAACAGAGTGCGGGGTGGAGTGCGGCAGTGTGTGTGTGTGTGTGTGTGTGCGCGCGCGCTCTCTCTCTCTCTCTCTCTCTTTCTTTCTTCCTTCCTTCCCCCCTCTCTCCTCCTCCTCCATAAAAGTCACTGTTTTGCCTCATTGTTTGCCTTCCACCCACCACTCAGCACACTCCCCAAAGAGGAGGAAGAATCTTTCTTTCTTTCTTTCTTTCTTTCTTTCTTTCTTTCTTTCTTTCTTGCATGAATTTTGCCACATCCCTCTCCACTGCATGCACATGCTCCCCCCTCCTCCCACCCCAGGCACCAGCTAATGTTTCCTCTTTTTTGCTCTTCAAAATATGGCAGCCACAACTAAGCCTTAGAAGCTGGGTATGTTTAGCCTGGAAAAGAGGAGACTGGAAGGAGATATGCTAGCCATCTTCAAATATTTTAAGGGAGCATGCTTGTTTTCTCCAGCTCTTGACAGTAGGACTCAAGTCAATGGCTTCAAGTTACAAGAAAGGAAATTCTGACTAAACATCAGGGAGAACCAGTTTGGCAGTGGAACGGTATCTCTCGGGAGGTGATGGACTCTCCTTCCTTGGAGATTTTTAAGCAAAGGTTGGATGGCCATCTGCCATGGATGTTTTAGCTGAGATTCTTGCATTCTAGGGTATTAGACTAGAGGACCCTTGGCTCCCTTCCAACCCTAAGATTCTATTATTCTAAATCAACTAAATACCACTTGGCTTTCCCAACTGTGTGCCATGATTGTATAGTAGACCTGAAGAGAGGGCATTCTGGTCTCATAGATGCTCTTGCCTAGTGTACCGGGAGGTATAGTGGGCAGGTGTGTGTGTGTGTCTTGATTTTAATTTAAACACCATGTTGTGGTACTCCGTTCCATAGGCTTACTTGTTTGTATTTCAGTCTACCAAGTTAAAAGTTAAAACTTATAAACAGACAAAGATGCATGCACATGCACCAGAATGTGTAGCTCGGGCACAGGCATACTCGGCCCTCCAGATGTTTTGGGACTACAACCCCCATGATCCCTAGCTAACAGGACCAGTGGTCAAGGATGTTGGGATTTGTATTACCAAAATATCTGGAGGGCCCAGTTTGCCTATGCCTGGTGTAGCTCATATTTCCCAGAGGTAAGGCTTTTAGGAAATCACCTGGTATTGTGCAACTCCTGATAAAATGTTTGAGAATTAGCATGGCAGGATGGGGTGGGGATGGGGGATGATAAAGAAACAGAGGAGGGGAATTCAGTACTGTACTTTGGGCCTCATCAGCTGACGCTTTGCTGAGATTTAGGGGATGATGAAAAGATTTACTGTCAAACATGTGTCTCATTCTCATCGCAGCAGGTTTACACTGGAGAGCTTTGTGTGTGCTCAAGATTTCAACCCCTCTCCCGTCCTTTGCATTCAAAGGAGATCTGAGGCCAACAGCCTTACGTGACTTTTCCTGATGACACACTCTTTGGATTCTCATGCTCTCTATTGTCTTCAGAGTGTACTTCTGCTTCGAAGAGCCTGAAGCTGTGAGCCTCTGCACCCTGTTCCTTATTCCCTGTGTCACCATGATAGTTCAACAGAGAAAGTTATTGCAGGTGCATCAGCCTAGCCAGAACCAGTAGCTCAGGCTGCCATTGTGACACCTGCATATGCTGGTGTGCCTTCCAGTTTCTCCTATTGCACCCTCAAAATGTCTTAAGTAAATATTCCCTTGAAAATCCATAAGGCAGAGAAAGTTCTCCCTTCCTGCTCAGTTCCCGTTTGCACTGACTCAGCCTTTCCTACACTGAACATGCCCCCTTAAATATGCCCACATTTTATTGGATGTCACACTACCCTCCTACCTGTGCTGAACAGAGAAGGGATGCAAAGAGTTTCTTACACACATTTTGTATAATGTTATGCACCCGGGGCATGCGTTTGTGACTGATGCCTATGTCATTTTCTCCAAATGTGTCCACAGACACCAAAATGTTGGGAACCCTTGAGCTAGAGGACCTAGGACATCATCATCAGTATCATCATCATCATCATCATCATCGTGATGATGATATATTTATTTATACCTAGACTTTTCTCTTGACAGACTCAAGTCAGCTCGCAGATAAATTAATAACAGCTAAAAACAAAAGGAAATACAATCATGAAAACAATTAAACAGTAATAGAATGTGTGTGTGTGTGCTCGCGCGCACGCACACACACACACACACACAAATCAATGGTCAGACTTGGCAGCTTCTTGTGTTATGCATTACTTTGCCACTAAAAAGCAAAAGACTCCTGGCAGAATCCGGCAGTTGTACTGTATATATTGAGAATAATTCAATTTGATTGCCACAAAACTACGTTTAGCAAACCCTCTTGAGAGAACACAAACAGCAGTTTTATGCTGCAGAAATAATAATAATATTTTAATCTGATTTAAGTAAAAGAGAGAAAACCTGAGCTAGGGAGCAGAATGTTTGGATTTTACTCACAAACATCCCCAACAAAGGAAGAAAAAAAGGAAGAGTGAAACCATGTTTCAGGAGCAGCTTTGGTTCCATGTCTTCATGGGGGCTTCTAAAGATCCCATAAAGGCTACTGCTCAGTTGACAGAGAGATTAAGATTTAAGGATAAATGAGTGAGGCTTAATGGGGTGGTTAGTGTTATGCAAGGCCCCCTCTAGATTTTAGAGGAAGTGCAGTCATTGAGAGGGTGAATTGGAGGCTTAGGTGGGGTTAAACCTATCACATTTCTGCCCTTTCCTTGGCAGGCATAACAAATGCATTTGAATCAGTGTAAGAGTTCTATTAAGGCTTGGATTTGCTGACCTTGGCAGGGGCTCTCTAATTACTTTGGGCTTTTCCCCTGATGGGGGAGAGCAGGGAAGGTTGTGAATGGAGTAAAGGGCATGGCTTGCATCTTGGTGAATGGGGAGTGGTTATTGGGAATAAATGACATATTTTTTGTCCAGGAAATGAATCTTTCTAGCACACTGTTTGTACAGTCTCACAAGCTTCTGCTGGCTTCAAGGCCTCTCCTCCCCCCCCCCCCACATCCTTTCCCAAAGAAAGAGAAATGGTGTACTCTGGTGATGAACTTTCCCCCCTCTTCCTGGGTGTATTTCATATACCCAGGAACAGGTATACTTCCCAGAGGATGGATACAACAGTGGCTGACTTTGGAGTCTCAAATCATAGCTGTCAAGTGTCCCTTATTTGAAGGGACAGTCCCTTATTCCAGCGCCATGTCCCGTTGCTGTCCCTTATTGATGGATGTCCCTTAAATGTCCCTTAAATGATGTCTCTTAAATTTCAAAGGAAGCTGCTCCTCTCCCTCCCTCCCTGACGGCCAGGGAGGAGAGAGGCTCCAACTGTGTTGCTTGGCTGTGTTGCTCACCCAATAAGAAGTCTAAGAACGACTGGGGGGTGGAGCTTGCATGCCTTGTGTGTGGCTAGTTAATACAAGCTGAGGGGTTTTTTGAATGCTGGACGCCATTTTGTTGCACGTGCTGCTGCAAACTTTGCAGTGCAAAGCCAGGCCGGGGAGCCATCTTAAGTTGAGGCTGCATAGGCCTTGTGGTGCATGTGATTCAGATTCTATTCAGTTGAACCTCTGGTTACAAAGTTGGTTGGACAGTGTTCTCGAAGGTACCAGCATGAGTTTGACCAGACTGCCGGAGGACAGGAAGACTGGAGTGCCTGGAACAGGTGAGGCTGCAGGTCCCTTATTTTGGCTGCTGGTCCCTTATTTTCAAGGCTGCTAGTCCCTTATTTTCAAATCTGTAAGTTGACAGCTATGGTCTCAAATCTCAACAGCGCCGTGTGACATGTCTCTTGCCTTCCATTCTACATCATAGTTGTGGCACCTCTTGTGGCACCCCCAAGGCTTTGTGGCCAGTCTGGCTAAACCAGTTGCATTCCCTTAAATCTGCCTTTGGATTCAGGGAGCGACTGTGAAGCTTCCTAGGAGGTTGCTGCCTGTTCTTCAAGGAGGGATGAACTACCTTTTTCTGGCCTGCTCTGCCCATCACACATTTACCTTTTCCACACTTACCTTGTGTTTAAAAGATTTTCCATGAAACATTTGGGCAAGAAAGGGGCAAGGAGATGAAATGTGGGCTATCAAAGGAAAATAGGAATATATGAAAGGGGGGCATTATTTCAGAAAATACTCCTCCTCACACCTTTCCATGTTGTCTTTTCACATTTACTTTTCAGCCTATAAAATCCAGTACGGACCTAGTCCTAGCTCCCTTTACTGCTTTTTATTCTTACCCTTTCAGTGCCTGGAAGGTACATTAGAAGCAGAATAAATTCAGCAAAGCACACTTATACAAATTCTTCTATTGGCAGTAATAATTATTATTATCATTGCAAAGTACACATTTCTCTGCCCACACAGCATTTCTCCAATTTCCCATTTGCTGTCTTTTAAGTCCTACGCACTTGACCAAATAATACTAGTGTAATAAAACGCTGCTTGAACAATATGGGTGTGTAAACAAATGCCTTCTCCTCTTCTGAGATCCCGATTTGATGACTGTCATGTGCTACCTTTGACAAATGTTCAGAAATGGCAATGAGTTTAGAATGCAGCTGCAAGCTTTATAACTAGAACATTTTGTGTGTGCATAAAACTCAGATTTCGTCTCGCAGTCAGCTTTCAGGCCCAATTCCAAAATGCTGGTTCTCACCTTTTAAGCCCGTTGATTGGCCTTTCCCAGCCAGCTGCCCTGCAGATTAGGGCTGGGTGATATTTCAATATATCGTCCTAAACTAGTTTGAAGTCCATGTTATGATATCAGTGTCATAATTTTTGGCCTGGTAATATATCACGAATCATGATGTGTGCTAGTGTTGTCTGGCTTTACATATCGTGATATATCACCAGCTAAACATTGTGATATACGGATATATCATGATGCCTGAAATAAGGATGTAACTGTGCATAGATGAACAGGGTAATGTCCTGGAAACTGCTACTACTTATTTTTACTTACCTTTAACATATTGTTACAACTGTTATTTTATAGTTCAGAGCAACAGAAGCAGAAGGAATAATCAGAGAAGCAATGACTGGCTTCACAATTTCCCCCACATCACAAATTTTTGCATAGCACACACACACATCGTGATTTGCGATATATCACCATGTTGAATATTATGAAATCTTTACCACAATGTTGTATTGACTATTACTACATTGCCCAGCCCTAATGTGTATGTGTGTACGCATGTGCGCACTATGCATTTAAAAAAAAAACAACAACATGTGGGGAAATACGTGAAGACAGCCAATGCCTCTACATAATTCCATCCGTATTTCAGGCATTGTGATATATCAGTATATTCATATTGCAATATTTGGCTGCTGATATATCACGATGTTGGACTCGATGGCCCTTGTGGTCTCTTCCAACTCTATGATTCTATGAACAGATATTGACCAACCCTGCTCCAGATGTGTTAGATTCCAACTCCTACCACACCTCACCATTGACCTTGTAAAATTGGAGTGTGGGAGTTGTAGTCCAAA